AAGTGGCTGAGGTTTACCTGCGTGGGGGCAGGCGGCTCGGCGTGGCTCATGGCGCCGTCGCCGCCGCGTCCCGAGGGGGGGGGTAAACAACGAGGTGCTTTCCGCCGCCTTCGCTCCCAAATGCGTGGAACCAGCGCAGAGAAGGGAGGCTCCCTCTAGAGCCGTTCGCCCGGCCGGGTTACATAAGAAAGAGGAGCAACTGGCACAGCCGGACTGGTCGCCGACCCCGCGGGCCAAACACTAGGGCCAAGGCCACGCCGCCGCCCCGAATTGAGCAGTGGCGTCAGTGGATCGGCTCCTCTTGCGCTTTGGCCGGCTCGGCTCCTTGCCAGGCTGCCTCCGCTCCTCTTCCCAGGAGAGAAACAGGGAAGGGGGATCCTGGACCTGTGACATAATCTGGGAAGCCCCCCCGCAACCCCGGGCACGGGTGGGAGGGAAGAGAGGCTCACCTTCCCTCCCATAGGCAAGGCGAGCCGGACCGGAGTCGGGCCGCTCTGCTGGCGCGAACTGCACCCTGACACCCACTTCAGGATACTGTACCTCTGTCAGCGTTTGTCCCATAAGACGGGACAGCACTAGGAGCTAACCACTAGGCTTCCGGAGGGGCGGCGCTGCTATACGGGTCTTGTCAGGCAGGCCACCGAGGGACATGTTCGCGATCTAGCCTGGGATCCGGATCGCCAAGATTTAAGTCTTCGCTTCCCCAACCCTTCATCAGTATATGTGTGTTGGGGGGGGGGGCTGTCAAAAGAGTGCCTCAGATCTGCTGAAGAGTGTTTTCTCCTTAACCAACTACCGCCAACAACATCAACAACAACAAAACTGCTCCGGGTTAGGCAACGCTTTTCTGAGCTCCCTAATTTTTGTAAATTTTTAGTGAGCCAATAAACATGTTGTCAAACTCAAAACCGTTCCCCCTTTAACCTGCTTTTGGGACAGGACTTTAGAGCAGAAGTCTACTTAGCAGAGTAAGGGGTAATGTTCAGGAAATGAGGCAGGATGGTTGCCACATTTTGAAATAAATTGAAGTAGAATATTATCATGCATCATTATGGTCTAAAAAGTAGGGGTGGCAGAGGCTGTAAGGCCATGGGGTTCTAAAGTGTTTTGGCCTTTGAACCCAGGAGTGAGGGATAGGATGGAAGGGCAAGAATGTATTGCTATGGGACTTTGAAAAGGAAGTTCATTTTTGTGATAGAGACTCCCAGCCAGGTGCTTTTCATCAGGAAAAAAAAATATAAATGATGCATTAAAAACTGCTGGGTAGCTCAGTGGTTTAGCTCTCTGGCAGGAGAGGCAGAAGTTGAGAGTTTCAGTGGGGCTGGACCTGAAGATCGATAGGATCCCTTCCAGCTCTGCACTTTTAAGATTAGTATTAGTACTGTTATTAGCTCCAAAAACAAAACACCTCCAAGGAAGTCTGTTGAAGTGTTTTCTGCAACAAATTACAAGGACGTCCTAAGGAGAAGTGGTTTTAAATATATTTATGCGCTAACCAGCATAAATGTTCTGTCTGGACATACACACACACCAATCTTGATACTAATTTTTCTGTCACAAGCAAGCACTGTTTTCTTTATGCCATGATTATGACTGATGATGAGTGGGATAAGGGAGGTGCTGTGCTTCTCTGACTCTGGCACTTACTTGGGTGCACATTTTTCCGTTTTCTCATTAAATTGCTTATCTGCAACCTTTTCACAAAAACTTTGATGTGGCAACTATGGTGTTTCATTCAAAAGTTTAGCATTTCTCTAATTTAAGAGGATATTCATTTGAGAACTGCTGTGTTCACATAATTAGATGGGAGGACACAGCAAATAAAAGTCTAAGCTGCTTGAATAACACTCTACCAGATTCTTTTTTATTCCCTGCATCTATGCGTTTCACTCTTCATTGTGACGGTGTGCTTAATCTGACTAGTTTAGTTAATATCCGTGGGAACTCTTCTCAGAATTCTTTCCTGCCTCTGCAACTCCTCAGGCTTTCTGCTGCAGAAGAATCCAGTCAAACACGACTTAGGGCCCATTATTGGGCCTATTTTGTGGCAATACGGCCGGTGAAACAGCAATATTTCTCCAGCCGTATTGCTTTTTCAGAATGTCATCCATCAGAGCTGCTTTGAGTGGTCCGGGATCTTCTTCAACCAGGAAATCTGGTGAAGGCCCCGGACTGCTCATCAGCTTGCTGATGGGGTTACACTCCCCTTAAGGGAAAGGGTCCGCAGCCTGGGGGTGCTCCTGGACCTCAGTCTAACTCTGGAAGCCCAGGTGGACTCGGTGGCCAGGGACGCCTTCCTTCAGCTGTGGAAATTGTACCAGCGACGTCCCTACCTGGATGAGCGGAGTCTCATGACAGTTACACACTCACTAGTAACATCTCATATAGATTACTGCAATGCGCTCTACATGGTGCTGCCTTTGAAGATGGTCTGGTGACTGCAACTGGTCCAGAATCGAACTGCGCAGCTGGTGAGTGGTGGGGCCGCTAGGGAACATATCAAGCCTATTCTGTTTAAATTACATTGGTTACCAGTTGCTGCCCGGGCCTAATTCAAAGTGCTTGTTTTGACATATAAAGCCCTAAATGGCTTGGGCCCTGGATACCTGAAGGACCGCCACCTTATATATGAACCTACCCGGCAGTTAAGATCTAGCCAGGGGGCCCTTTTGAAAGAGCCATCCCTCAAGGAGGTAAGAGGGATGGTTTGTAGACAAAGGGCCTTTTCGTCACCTGCCCCCAGACTATGGAACACACTCCAGAGGGAGATTAGTCTGGCGCCGACACTGATGACATTTTGCGCCAGGTCAAAACCTTCCTGTTCCAGAAGGCTCTTAATTGAAATAATAGCAACTGTGGGTCCTGATGGCAATTTTTAGAGTATATATTTTAATTGTATTTTAATTATTTTATCTTTTTTACAATATTTTAATTGTTGTAAACCGCCTATATACCTTTGGGTAGTGTGGGTGGCATATAAATAAAATAAATAAGTAAAATGTTGCAGATGTTAACTGAAACGTGGTCATGGGTGGTCGTGGTGGTGGTAACTTTGCATAAAGTAAACATAAAAAAGAAGCAAGCATGTGAGGAGCTGAATTTTGTTAATATAGCAATATCTACCTCAGTATGTCATATGTACATGACCTGGGTTCAAATCCCTACTTGGCCATGGAAACTTACTGGTGTGTATGTGTATAATTATGTGGCATAATATGGGAGTAATTGGCCTATATAAAATTGCAAAAAGAAAAGAAAAATGTTAAATAATAGATCCATAAGTGAGTTATGGATCTATCATATCTCCTCTCAAGTCTTCTTTTCTCAAAGTGAAACATGCCCAGTTCTTCCAGACTTTCCTCATAGGGCTTGGTTTCTGATCATTCTTGTTGCCTTCTTCAGAAGTTATTCTAGTTTGTTGCCATCTTTCTTAAAGTGTGGTGTGAAAAACTGAACACAATACTCTAAATAAGGTCTAACTAGTGCTGAATAGAGGCAAACTAGTACCTAATGGGATTTGGAGACCACATTTCTGTTAATGCATCCTAAAATAGCATTTGTGTTTTTTGCAGCCACGTATCAGTTGGCTCATATTTAGCTTTAGATCTGCAATTCAAAGATCCTTCTCACTTATCATATTACTCAGCCAAGTATCCCCAATCTTGTAACCATTAATTTGGGCTTTTTCCCCCTGGGTGTAGAACTTTGCACGCATCCCTGTTAAATTCCATAGTTGTATCAGCCTATCAGCTCAAGCCTATCCAGATACTTTAGAATTTTGTTCCTATCTTCCAAGGTAATAGCTATTCTACCCAATTTTGTATCGTTTGCAAATTGGGTAAGTATTCCCTGCACTCCCTCATCTAAGCCATTAATAAAAATGTTGGAGGGCACTGGGCCCAGGACTGAACCTTGTGGTACCCCAATTGTTACTTCCCAGTTTGAGAAGGAGCCATTGATAAGCACTCTGATTCTGTAACCAACTGTTTATCTACCTGAGTTGTTCTATCCAGACCACACCTAGTTAGTTTGCTAATCAGAATATCATGGGGCACCTTATCAAAGGTTTTGCTGAAGTCAAAATGAATTACAGTGGGGTCTTGACTTGAGAACTTAATCTGTATTGGAAGGCGGTTCTCAAGTCAAAAAGTCTGTAGGTCAAGTCTCCATTGACCTACAGTGCATTGAAAACCGATTAATCCTGTAACAGGCTGTTTTTGTTCCATTTTGGTTTTTTTCTGGTCTGTAAGTCAATTCTCAGGCTGCAAGTCAAACCTAAATTTTGCGGCCAGAGAAGTCTGTAACTCAAAAAGTCTGTAAGTCAAGCCGTCTGTAAGTCAAGGGTCCACTGTATATCTACAGCATTCCCACCATCTACCAGGGAGATTACTCAATCAAAAATGAGAAAATTCCAGTGGCATCAGAAATGTAACATTTTATTTAGGTATGATGCTGCAATTTAGATGGATTACAATTAGGAGTCACCATGACTGAAACTGGCATTCTGATTTAAGAAACCTCCAGAACACAATCATTATTATAGTGATTCCCAACCTTGGGTAACCCAGGTGTCCCTGGACTACAATTCCCAGAAGCCTTCACCACCAGCTGTGCTGGTTTTCTGGGAGTTGGCATCCAAGAATACCTGGGTTACTCAAGGTTGGGAAGCACAACATTTTTGTCATTAGCTACTAGGCCAACAAAAGTATCCTTGGCAATCAAATGAAAGGTGAGGTTGCTTTTGTAAGAAAAAGGAAGGCTGTCTTATAGTGATTCATAAATGAGAAGCCTATTCAAACTCTTAGATAAATAACATTTAAACCAATGATTATGCTGTAAACATTTAGGCTTCAGAGTCACCATATGAAATCCAAAAAGGCTTGGAAGTTTTCCTGCTTAAAATAATCTAAGAAACAAGTTGATAATTAACCGACATTGCAACACTTTGTCTCACAACCCCAGAAATTTTAGAATAGATCATGTTTACTTGTACTTTAGATCAGTCACTAGCCTTGTTGGGGATGAATCTGTCTATAGCCACTAACTGTATCTGAGAAATTTTTAATAATTTACCTACCTCATCTAAACCTAGATCTAAGTCACTGTTGTTAACTGACATCAAGGTAGTAATTGTTGTGAGTTACTGATACTGCATTCCTTCTCATAAACTCTATGGTAATATTTACCTTTTAGCTTCCTCAGGATAGAAACTGTCAATTTAAAAAAGGCAATTGTCACACACAGGTAGCTGTGCTTTTCCTTCAATCCTTACAAGTTGAAAATGTACAACTCAAATGGAGCTGCTGTTCCAAGAAATATTACATCCCAGGCTTTTGCACACATCATGCATATCCTTTAATAATTCTCTGTCACCCATAATTGAAAAATTGGGTGGGTCGTGGCCCAAAACCTATTCTTAGCCCCAACTACAGCACATGCAGTGAGTCAATGGGACTTACCTAAGTGGTTCATCATCATTTAGCAATTGATTTAATGGTCCACTCCAGTTAATATTAGCAATTGTATTATGGCCATTGGTGCTGGTATACAGGGTGATGGTAGGGATTTAAACAAAGGGACAAGATATCGGTGGATGAAATCTAGGGTATCAGTACATTTCATATTTGGTTTTCCTCTTTTCCTGCTACCTTCCACCTCTCCCAGCATTAATTGCCTTTTCCAGAGAATCCTGCCTTCCCTTAGTATGTCATTATATTGTGTAAAAATTGGGTGGAAAAGGGAGGCAAACTGATTAAATAAAGTAGACAAAGCATTTACCTGGACAGCATATTTAAGCCACTTAGCTTCTGGTCTTCTTCTGAAGAGCTAAATACAGTGGTGGCCCGCATGACGACTATAATCTGTTCCGGGAAAATCACTGTTTAGCGAAATCGTCATGCGAAATCAGTTTCTCCATTGGAATGCATTGAAACCCGTTTAATGCGTTTCAGTGGGGAAAATACCTCATTATCCAGCGAAGATCGCCCATAGGGAAGCCATTTTGCGAGCGCCGATCAGCTGTAAAAATGGCTCCCCTGCAAAGCATGGGTCTGAAAAACACAGGGCAGCCATTTTGCAGAGCAGGAAAAATCATTGTCTTGCGAACAAGCGGTTCGTGAAGCACGGACCTAATCAATGTGCAGCGAAAATCCCCCACTGGAATGACTGTTTTGCGAATCGCTATAGCGATTGCAAAGTCATCGTAATGCGGATTCGTTGTTCAGCGGGGTCATCGTCTTGCGAGGTACCACTGTATAATACAGTAGTGCCCCGCATGACGACGATAATCCGTTCCGTTAAAATAGCTATACAGTGAACTCGTCATGCGGAAAAAAAAACCCATTGGAATGCATTGAAAACTGGTTAATGCGTTCCAATGGGGGAAATACCTGATCGTCCTGGGGAGAGCCTCCACAGGGCAGCCATTTTGCAATCACTGTCTTGTGAAAATCGGTCCGGAAAACAGTGGGGAGCCATTTTGTGAACCGCCAATCAGCTGTTTTAAATTGTCATTTTGCGAACAATTGATTTGCGAAGCACGGACCTAATCATCGTTAAACGAAAATCCCCCATAGGAAACATCGTTTTGCAATCGCTATAGCAATCGCAAAAAAGTCATCATCAAGTGATTCTGTCGTCATGTGGGGTAAGCGTCTTGTGGGGCACCACTGTTATATCAAAATGTGCAAATTATGCTACTGCTGCCAAGCTCTAGAATGTTCTGTAGGACTGATTGCACAGACAGAGCACCTATTTGTGTGCATACATAGAGACCATGATGAAGAACTTAGCTACTGGTTTTTCTATAAGGTGAGGCCACCCATGTGACAGACAAGTCCTAACCAAAGAAATAACTAGGTTTCTCTTGGGTACATTCCAACTTCTGGGTTGCCTCCAATGGCAAACGTATAAGGAGAATTTCCTATCTTTCACACTTGTAACTTCCCTATTCTCCCCTAAATGACATCTACCCATCCACTAATGCTACACCAAAACATCATCCACTAGTGCCATACCAGATGAAAGTCCGCCATGTTTCCTTTAACATTTCAGGTGAAGCTATATAAAAACTGTACCATTTACTTGATGCACAATGTTTTTACTTCTGGACTTCACAACCCGTCATGTAGCTGGAGGTCTGTTTTTCTTTAACTCTAGCATCTTGAACTTTTTATTTACATAAATAAAATGAAAGAGTTCACAAAAAGTTGTTTTATCAGCAGTAAAATTTATTTGCCTAATTAAGATGCCAAACACAAATCAAATATACACACAGAAACATTTAAATAAGTAAAAAGCATTAATTCTATGTATTTACAAATGGGAAAAATACAATACAAATTTGACTATTAGTTCTCAAATCAGTGTAGCTCCTTATTAAGCCAATACCACTTGCCCTGAAAACAAATTTAAGATGAAGTTTAAATCTATTTTTAATATTGAAAACAGTCAGGTTGGTGCACAATATTAAATTGTACTTTAGGCATTACATGCATGAATGTTGGCTTGAGAGCTTCCCACTCTACTGCAGAGGAAATTGAGGACTTCTGATTCCATTTTAAATTAACTACATTTCTATATCTGAATCCAAACAAAATGCAAGTATGTTTACTGAAATATGCCTGCTTTGTAAACTGAGATCTGAAATTGGCCTGTTTCAGTAAGGCACTAGCAAGACTAACCAGATTCAGATATACTATACTATAGTTATTTAAAAAAAAGAACACTTCTGCTCTCTTGAGAGAAAGGAGGGGAAACACACATTCCTAATGCCTCTTAATATTACATATAATATCATATGTCTAAATACAATCTATGGATTCGATTCTAAATTAGTGGCAATAAAAGCAGACCCCTGAAATCAGTGAATCTAAGGTTAACCAAAATGAAGATTTCACTGATATCAATGGTTCTATTAGCTCTTGTCTAAATTTGGTTAAATATCTCACCCAAGTTAGGGTGGTAAGTGATACAAACTGTTTTTTTTTTAATTAGCAGGACACTCAAAAATTCACTCCATGTCTGGATGTGTAACATCTGAGTACACACAGACCAATAAAAATTATCATACAATTCCATGGACAACATACTAGACTTTTTTCCAGATTAGGAAAGTTAAGTCAATTATGAATGCTGACTTTATGAATTAACACATTGTGACTTTATACAAAGGCAAGAGTAAGCTCCTGAGAGTTTACTGGGACTTATTCCTACATATAGGTCTGCATCTTCATTTTTCAAAATCCTATTCCATAAATTCTGATCTATGAAAATTTCATCACAGACAGTAGCAGATTGCCACTAATTAAAGGCCCCCATCTCTTTGATTCCTCATTGGGTAAATGTAATGTCACTGTATACAAATCAGGAGCTTCAGCCACAAAACAGAACTGAAGTGGAGACTGTCTAGTTAGTATCAAAATACAAGTGGTGCCTCGCACAGCGAGGTTAATCCGTTCCGGATTAATCCTCGCTGTGTGAAAGCATCGTTCAAAGGAACGTAAAAACCCATTGGAACGCATTAAACATGGTTTAATGCGTTCCAATTGGGCCGAATACTCACCGTTCAACGATGCTTCTCTATGGCCGGCAGCCATTTTCGCGCCATCCCCTCGCTTAACGAGGGCGCGAAAACGCTGCGTGGCGACCATTTTGTAGCCGCTGAACAGCTGATCGGCGGGTCGCAAAGCGAAGGTCGGTAAGCGATTTTCGCCCTATGCGGGCACCGTTTTGCGATTGCATTTGCGATCGCAAAACCGGCCTCATAGAGTGAATTCATCGCTCTACGAGGCGCCCGTTGTGCGAGGCACCACTGTAATTTATGTAAGAATCCAAAAGAGGCATTGTCTTTCAGATTTTTGCATGAATTAAAATGTTGTTAATTAAGCAGCCCTTATTTCAGTTCTATGCCATGCATGAAACACTTGGTTTATACATAATGACATTATGTTTAAATAACAATAAATCTAAGTGGGACTCCTTAATTAGCATTAATATGCCCTTAGAGGTGATATAATTTCTTGTACACTGCCATATTTATGGAAGAGGAATTGACCTGAGTTGATAAATAGCTAACTGTGATAGGTTTCTCCAGTTAAGAGAATATAACGTCCAAAACTTAAAGTTAATAAAGTTTTACATTTTTTAAGGACATATGTATTCACAATATCCAAGAAAATTTTGCTGAAGTGGCAAAAATTGCATAAAGCGTTTTAAAACCACTTTACCATCTATAAAACCTGTTAAAATTCAGTGCTATGGGAACTGCTTATTTGCAAACACCAGATGTGGCACTTAAATAACCAAACTACATGGGTTGGGACAAGCATATGTTTCATTTAGTTGCAACCCTCAATCATGTGGGAATGCTCATGGATATATAGTTCTGACAAGGCCAAGAAAGGGTTCAAAGGTTATATTAGAGAAAAACTCAGTTTTTAGATTGCTCTTTTTGTACCAAGGCAGGAGTGGCAACTTTCTGGACATTAAAAACTGTGAAGAACTTACAGATATTCTATCATAATCGAAACAGTCTGGAAGCATCTAAAACTTTCTCTAAATCTCTAATAATGGGAAAATATTCTATGTATAGTCACCACTTCAGTACTACATTAGTATAATGAGAAAACTCGCAATTGTTTATTTTGGATGCTTTACTAGTATTTGTATTATGAACAAGACAGCATTTTCAAAACCTTTCACATTAGTCCTCATGGTTATATGGTATGTGCTGATGACCAGTTGCATGCTAATGTAGTTAAAGGACCAAACTTTCCACTTTTTTCAGTATATTACTGAAAGTCTTCATTACCCTTCAGAACTTAATTCCCCCTGCATCTGACAATCACTGTGCATTACAGAGTAAAGAGCTGAGAAAAGGGACCTGTGGATGTACCACAAATTACATTGTGCTAAGTGTGTAGCAATCCAATAAGGCTAAAGCTTCATACATGTAACAGTAGTTTTTCTAAATATTTGCAACTCTGTACATAGTGCTGCAGTCAAATTTCACTGTAAGACCATTTTGACAATAATCAAATGGTAAGTTAATGAAGTTTTGGGGGCCTTTTAATTTCTTCATATACATCTGTTTGGGGAAAGTGCAAATGGTAGCACACATATTTAAGAAATCCACACAAATTATACTATATTATATGCTAAAGAATAAATGTATTATTTTCGATGTCACCATTCTAAATTATTAATAGCCCATCAGTTATGCACCAGCAATATGCTGTTGAAGATATGAGGTCATCAGTACATTGTTAAGGATTTAGCCCAAAGCAATTTAGCATCATACCATGAATATTTGAAAGGGCAAAAATAAACTTTTAAAACCACAGCACAATTTTGTTTCCTCCCCAAAAGGGGAGAAGGCAGGTTTCAACATATGCTTTTGAAGATACAGAAGGACATGCACATAGATTTGTTACTATGGCTCCATAAATTCCTACATAAATCGCAGTCTTCTCCGCTGACTGGAAAATGCCTTCAGATAAAGTGTCTCCACATTTTATATAAAAATGTGTTACAGTATGGCTATAAAGTCCAGTTTTGTCCCCTTGGAAATTCAGAAAATCATGCATACCTAGAACCACTTTGATCATAACAGTTTGTGGAAGGCTGCTATACAAATAAAGTGACTGACAGAATGATAGACACAAAAAGCTTGTTTTAGGGAAACTGATTTGGACTGATTCTTACAGTGTGAAATACACAAAGACTTGATGGTTCCCTAGTTGTTTCCCAGTTTTATTTGCATTAGTATGAGCATAATGACTCAAGTCTTAAAGTGGAAGAGATATTTTGCAAAAGTTTCATTTCAGTTCTTCAGGAGAATTATGGCAACATCAGCTACTATCATGGCAAATGTCCTACAAACGTGTAGGCCCCAATGAACTGTAACGCCAACTTTCTAACAGAACGAGACAAAATCTCATATGCAAGGTAGACCAATTAAAAGGCCATCTAGAATCATCCAAAATTATTTGTCATTTTGGCATAAGTCTGAATGCTAATTTTTATTGTTTGCTGAATTAAAGATTTATGATGTATCCATGAAAGCTCAGTTCTTATTCTTTGGAGAAGAATTTATTAAGGCTTCATATATAAATTGGATGATACTGTTTGTAACCAAGCTTCTTCCTACAAGTTGGGCAAGAATTGGCATTTCTTAAAGAATCACGAAGGCATTGACTACAAAAGACATGACCACATTTTGTAGATACAATGAGCCGCCCACTCTGTACAATTTCTGAATATCCATCCATGCAAATTGGACAGCTCACAGTACCTGAACGTCGTGTACTTGAAATTCTATCTTCCAGTAATTCCAACTCTCTGGGCAATGTACTAGTCAGCACCACATCATTATCTCTCGATTCATCATCATCACTGCTTAATACACAGCTCTCAGGGGGTTGCTGGCTTCTTAATTCTTGGCTCTGCTGTTGACAAGTATTTTCTTCAACTATCACAACAGAATCATTACGTGTAAGATCAACCACTATTGGTTCTGAAGACTCACACGTGAGGTCCACTACTTCTTCACAAGTATTTTCTTCAAGGTCAATAGGCTCTGTCTGCGAAGCAGCCTCCCCAGCTGAAGTGTCCATTCGACTTCGCTTACAACTTTGTCTAGAATTAATTGTTCCTCCACAACGTTTTTTTGGAATCTCACTCTTCCCCATCCGTTCACTGGAAACCAAGGGAGCAGCTGTGGCAGTTGCTGCCAAAAGATCATTTCCAGCAGAAGGAGAAGAAACAGTAGCAACAGCCTGGAAGGAGATGCCCACAGAGGAAGTAGATGGAGATGATGAGGATGAAGTGGCAGCTGAGGAAGCAGTATCCACAGATTTGACCTCCACAGAATCCAGACTTGATTGGATAAGACAAGTTCCTCTCTTGTTCTTCCTACGCTTGGCACCACAACGCTTAGAATCAGTGGGGCTCATGGTAGGGGCACGAAAGGCAGAACTCCCAAATAAACTAGTACTGTAGAAATAAGAGAAATATGTGAGACCTCCTGACACATAAACTTGAAGCCATACATATATACATAATCCCAAGCAATAAGCCACAAAGGAACAGAACTCTAACCTTCCACACTGTGATCTGCGGATGTATGTTTAAAAAAGTGCACTTTCTCTCTTTGTTAGCCATAGTCTATTCTGTACTCTAGTTGGAACAATGGTTGCATTGTGGGGACCTTGGTGCATTTCTAACACCAAGCCACAATGATCCAATGACAGACTTACTGAGCACTGAACTACATGGGCATTATGTCCTCACAATGTGCATGAAAAACTGATTCTATGATATCAGAAGTAAGCTTATTTTCTCACAGACTCAACTATATAGGCATTATTGACTTCCATTTATCAAACAGTCATCAAAGCAATTTTTCAGACTAGAATTTAGAATTATTATGCAGTTACCCATTGTACTAAAATTTCAGAAAACACCTACAGATATTCTGTAAATCAAGCATCTCTAGAGATCTCCAATAGCAGGGCATGGAGAAGCAGGCAGAATGTGAAGTATAGATGCAAACATCAGACCAAAAGATCTGTGAATCTGGGAGGCTTCTGAAAGCAGCGCTTTGCCTCGAGGCTTGCCGCGGGCCTGCCATCCCAGGGCAAAGTGCCGCTTTCAGAAGCTTCCCCGGGTGCTTTTGTACTGCCTTTTTATCTGCTGAGGAAGCCAGGGGAAGCCTCTGAGACCGAGCTCCAATCAGCTGAGAGTCGGGGAGGGGGGAGCGGAGAAGAGCATAAAATGACTGCTGGGAAGGCAGGGGAGAAGCTTGAAATACTGTAAAATGGTTCTTTTCCCCTGCCCCTGGGAGGCTTCTGAAAGTGGCGCTTGCTGTGAGGGTGGGGCAGCGGGGGGAAGAAAGGTTCCCTGCCTTCCCCGCGCATTTTTCTGTTCGTAACTCAGAAAAAGTTCACAAGTCAAGTTCATTTTTTCCTAGTAGAGCGGTTTGTAAGTCAAAATGTTCATATCTAGAGCTGTTCGTAAGCCGAGGGTTAACTGTATGTTGTTGTTTAGTCGTTAAGTAGTGTCTGACTCTTCGGGACCCCATGGACCACAGCACACCAGGGCCTCCTGTCTTCCACTGCCTCCCGGAGTTGGGTCACATTCATGTTGGTAGCTTCGGTGACACTGTCCAACCATCTTGTCCTCAGTCATCCCCCTCTCCTATAGGAGCCTCAGTTTCCCAGCATCAGGGAAACATCTTCTCTTCTCATGAAATGGTCAAAGTATAGGAGCCTCAGCTTCAGGATCTGTCCTTCCAGTGAGCACTCAGGGTTGAATTCCTTCATAATGTGATAAGTTTGTTCTCTTTGCAGTCCAGCACCACAATTCAAAAGCATCAGTTCTTCAGCGGTCAGCCTTCTTTATGGTCCAGCTCTCACTTCCATACAGCGCTACTGAAAAAACCAATTTTGTGGCTGCTGTCACCATCTGCAGTGATCATGGAGCCCAAGAAAGTAAAATCTGTCACTGCCTCCATATCTTCCCCTTCTATTTACTAGGAGATGATGGGGCCAGTGGCCATGATCTTCGTTTTTTTGATGTTGAGCTTCAGACCAATTTTTTTGCGCTCTCCTCTTTCCACCTTATTTAGAGGGTCTTTAATTCCTCCTCACTTTCTGCCATCAGAGTGATATCATCTATATATCTGAGGTTCTTGATATTTCTTCTGGCAATCTTAATTCGTTTTGGATTCATCCAGTCATGCCTTTCACATGATATATCCTGCGTATAAGTTAAATAAGCAAGGAGGCAATATACAGCCTTGTTGTACTCCTTTCCCAATTTTGAACCAATCAGTTGTTCCATATCCAGTTCTAACTGTTGCTTCCTGTCCCACATATAGGTTTCTCAGGAGATAGACAAGGTGGTCAGGCACTCCCACTTCTTTAGGGACTTACCACAGTTTGCTGTAGTCCACACAGTCAAAAGCTTTTGCATAGTCAATGAAGCAGATGTAAATATTTTTCTGGAAGTCTCTGGCTTTCTCCATAATCCAGCACATGTTAGCAATTTGGTCTCGAGTTCCTCTGCCCCCTCGAAATCGAGCGTGTACTTCCGGGAGTTCTCGGTCCACATACTGCTGAAGCCTGCCTTGGAGGATTTTGAGCATAACCTTGCTAGCATGTGAAATGAGTGCAATTGTGCAGTAGTCGGAGCATTCTTTGGCACTGCCCTTCATTGGGATTGTGATGTAGACTGATCTTTTCCAATCCTCTGGCCACTGTTGGGTTTTCCAAACTTGCAGGAACCTACTTTTCCATTAATGTAGGAGTAATAATATGGGTCTGGTGTATCATTCTGTTGTGAAAATAACTCTTAACATTGCCACTTATAACCATTTTTATATAATGCTTTATCTATGGTTCAACTACAAATACAATATTTATACAGTGCTTTTCTGAAATAATGTAGGCCAGTGGTTCCCAACCTTGGGTCTCCAGCTGTTCTTGGTCTGCAACTGCCAGAAGCCTTCACCACTAGCTGTGCTGGCCAGGATTTCCAGGAGTTATAGTTGAAGATCATCAGGAGATCCAAAGTTGACAACCACTGGCCTACC